TGTTGAAGCTTTCAGCAATATATGCCAAATAAACCTTCCAAATATGATATAAACATTATGTGCTCTGTTAGATGCAAAGACATTTTACACCTTGAATTTAGAAATTTATCCTGGACTCAGCCACCAGGTCTTTATTAACAGTTCTGTTGCACCTATTTCAAAAAGTAACCCAAATGTTACATTTGCTAAAAGAACAGCAGTTGACCAACATAGGAACTATTCACAAGAACAAAGTAGAGATTCCTAAAAAAAAAATGTTGGAAGTTCACAACAGAGAAATGTATAGTACAATCTTTAGATTTCAGAAAGACAACACTGGCTTCCCAGATGGTGAAGAAAAGTGAAGTAGTATGGATACTGTCAACATTACATCATGATGATAAGATTGATAATGAAGCTGGGAATGGTAGCACACACCTGTTATACCAGCAATAGGGGAGGCTGAGGCAGGAGGATCCTTTGAGTTCAAGGTCAGCCTGTGCTACAGTGAGTTAAAGGCCAGCCTGAACTACATAATGAGACACTGTCTAAACCCTTGCTCCCCTCTCCAAATTTGATAGTGAATCAACACAATGAAGCTAGAAATGGTCACATTTTACAACAAAACTAAAGGCAGAGTAAAGCAAGTTATGCAGCAACTATGATGTCACTCGAAACACAAAGCGTTGGCCAATGGTGTATTTTACTGGATCCTAAACATATCACGAATAAATAGTTTTATAGTTTACAAAGAAAATAACAAGCACAAAATATCATGGAGAAATTGTCTTAGAGGATGGGGACTAAAATTGATAAATGATCAATTACAACAGAAGAAGAACAAAATACATTTACCCAAAGAACTCCACAAAAGAATTCTGGAAAGAGCAGTGAACAGACAAGTGAAACATCACAAGACCCCCCAAAGAAAACAGGAAGACCAGCAAGATGTCAAGTATGTCCTACCCAAAAAAGACCAGAACAAAACACATGTGCTATCACTGTTAAGTGGTATTTCTGTATGGAACATGATGTTCTCACGTGAAAACTGCTTTAGGTGTGATAATTGAAGTAAAGAATATTTCTTCTTTTCTTTTTTTTTTTTGGTACTGGGGATTAAACTCAGGTCCTTGTGCTTGCAAGACAAGTGGCAGAACCACTGAGCTAAATTCCCGGCCCAGTAAAGAATATTTCTGTGATAAGAGTTTTGTTTGTATTTTCATTGTAGTTCACATAGGAATTTATTTCTGTTGTTGCTTTTAGATTTAGTAAGCTAATAGTTGATGTAGAAAATGTTGATGTTCATTGTAAATACTCATTACATATTTGTTATTTTATTTTACTGATATTTCATTTTCTAAGTGCACATTGTATAACAGGAAGCTCCTGACAAAAGAGGAAGACAAGAGAGGTGACAAGTACAACCTGCCAAAAAAGATAGGAAAGCAAAACACGTTTGTTATCAGTGTGAGGCTTATGTATGGAACATGCTGGTGTCATATGTGAAGATCACCTTAGGTGTGTTAATTGAAGAAAAGATTATTTCTGTGATAGAGTTTTGTTTATATTTTCATTGTAGTTCACATAGGAATTTATTTCTGCTATTATTATTTAGATGTAAGCAAGTAAACAGTTGAAAATGTAGAAAACATTCTAAACACTCATTACATATTTGATATTTTACTTTACTGATATTTTATTTTCCCGTTAAGTGTATACTGTACAGTATTGTACAATATATTATTGTACAATATATGCTACATTGTACAATATAACAGGCTGACAAAAGAGGAAGACAAGAGATGTCACAAGTACGGCCTGCCAACAGGAAGGGAAAGCTGCGCACAGCGCTGTCAGTGCGAGACATGCGTATGGCACATGCTGTTGTCATGTGTGGAGATCGCCTTAGTTTTGACAAGTGAAGCAAAGATTATTTCTATAGTAGAGTTTGTTGGTATTTTCATTGTAGTTCACATAGGCATTTATTTCTGTTGTTATTTTTTAGATTTTGTAAGCAGGTAAACAGTTGATATTGAAAATGATGTTTATTTTAAACACTCATTACATTTAAAAATTTTAATATTTTATTGATACTTTATTTTTCTGTGAAATACACATTGTTTAAAAAATTCGTAAAATTAAAATAGTTCATTAATAGAAATACTTCTGAAAAATAAACATGGGCATTATACATCCCCCATAATGCTCCTTTCGAAAACATGTAGTATAGACAAGGGAGATCCAGGTCTCTCTATAGTGTCGGGCATTTTTTAGAGAACAGTGCAAGTCAGTTCTGAAAGTTGAGAGGGAGGAGGCACTACACTGGCAGGAGTTCACCTCTCTGGGTCTCAGTTCTTTCTCTCCCCATCATTCTCTAACTACAAACATTTCCCCAGCCCTCAATATTTTCAAGCAATTGTTTAATCTAGCCAAGAAGTCTGCTTCACATCACATTAGTGACATAAAACATTTACTTGTACATTACCACCTGTACATTACCTGTGACTTGTACATTTCCTGTACATTACCTGTGACCGCTAATCCATGTGCCCGAATTCATCTTTGCCCTACCTTTACCACCACGTGTGAAAAACTGAGTTCACACTAATGAAGGCTATTTCCAAAATAAAGTCACTTGCCCATATAATTGAAGAAAAATCTAATATGGGCAACCTCTGCAATGTAACAGTTACACAATAAACTCATAAAAACATGAACCCCACAGGGCTGGGGATGTAGGTCAGTGGCACCACGCCTGCCTGGCAAGTGCAAGGTCCTGAGTTCAATTCCCAGTACTGGGAAAAAAAAACATGAACCTCAAAAGAACTAAAGTATTATAAGATTCCTAACCACATGCTCTGCAAATGGCACATACATCATATGTGCACGGTCACAGAATCACAAAGATTTCACCACAGTTTCTGGATCTCAACCCTGCACCACCAGCTCCTTTTGCAACATGTCATGAGAGAAGTTGGCTTGTAAATAAGCACACAATACTATAACCAAAGTACCACTCTGGTGAACCTGCAAGTCCTGGGTCTGCATGAGCACAAGGAAAGCAGCCCTTTTACTAATTAGAAAAGAAACAGCTAAGAGGGGAGGAGTCCAGGCTCCCTGAGCCAGGAAAAACAGCCCTCCCTACTGTGGATTCTCCATCTGTGGATTCAATCAATCTCATGTCAAAAATATTCAGGGGGGTAATTTCTTCTATACTGAATGTGTACAGATTTTCTTCTTGGTCACTGTTCCCTAAGCACTATGTATAACAACCAAGCACACAGCACTGGCAATGTGCTAGGTATCAGTGACCTAGACATGATTTCAGCATAGCAGAAGGTGTGTGCAGGTCATACGCAAACACAGCCCTACTGATATAAGGGATTTGGCATCTGATCTGCAGATCTTGACATGTCCAGGTGTGAGGACCCTGGGCACAATCCTCCACACCCTGGAGCAAACAAGGGACAACTGCACTTAGTGAAGATGTTGCCCTGTGACATTTAGAAGCAGCACCCTCACTTCCAGGGTGACTCCTCTCTGTTGGGAGAGAGGAATTCTACAGGATTTGGGGGAAAAATCATTTCATAATTGAATTAGAATTAGGGACTAGTTTGTCAAGACGTGACTCTGTTTTCACCCCCAGTCGAAGATGAACCTCAGTGGTGGGGTGATGCCGTGATGCTCCAGGGCAAGATTACACCAGGCGGAGACATCCTGGGGAAACTGAAGCTTCACTTGCAGAGCTCCTCAGAGTTCTAGGATCATGATGCCACCCTCTGAGTCATTTGCTACTTTTCTTTCTCCCGATGCTCTGAATACTATGGCAAGCTCCAGGTCTTTGTCTTTGCCGCCCAGAGCAGCAGTGATCAGGCCAAAGCTCAGCTTCTTCTCTAGTCTCATTTCTGGCTATATATTAATTAATTCGCCTTGTGCTGCTGTGGCTCACAGGAGACTAGGACCTGATGCAGAGGTTCTAGTCATGTCCCCTTTCCCTGTTCCTACACCTCTCAAGCCAGCGAGCTCAGCCTAACAAGCAAGATGGAGTCTGTATGTCAGCCCCAACTTGTCCCCTGTGAAGCTGTACTTGTGCAGCAACTGTTAGACAAAATGGCCACAGAGAGGTCTGTTACTCAAAGTGGCACCCGTCGGAAAAGCGGAACTGAACTCGCCCCCCAGCCGCACTACTCATCCAGCAAAAAGTTTAACTCCATCACCCGCCCCAGCAGTACAACCAAACTCCATCACCTGCCCCAGCAGTACAACCAAACTCCATCACCCGCCCCAGCAGTACAACCAAA